ATTTGTTTTAAGTCACGCAGTTTGTTGTAATTTGTTATACCTGTCCTAGGAAATTAATAGTGTTTTTGGTACCAGGAAGTAGGGTTCTACTGGAACAAATACTTAAAAATGTAGAAGTGGCTGTGGAATTGGGTCACAGGTAGACGGGAAGAAATTTGAGAAGCATGATATAAAAAGCCTGGATTTCCTTGAAGAGACCATGTAGAAATATGAATGTTAAAGGAAATTTTGGTGAAGCCTTAGGAGGAAATGAGTAAAACACATTGTTAGAAAGTGGTGGAAGGGCTATCCTTGTTGTATAATTCCAGAAAACGAGGCTGTATTATGCGTTTTAGTTGTGTGAAAAGCACAACTTGAAAAGTGATGGACTTGTATATTTAGCTGAGGATATTTCCAAATTAAATATGGAAGGTGCAGCCTGCTTTCTCCTTGCTGCTTGTTGTAAAATGTGAGATGAAAGACATAAGTTGAAGAAGGAACTATTAAGCAAAAGGAAAAAGCATTTGATGTAGGAGGATCTAGACCTATCCAGCTTTCACATGCGTATGAATAAGGAAGACCGAAGAAGAATTGATGCCTTTGATAACGGTGTTGGCGAAGAATATTGAATGCACCACAGACTGCCAGAAGAATGAATAAATCTGTCTTGGAAAGACATACAGCCAGAATACTCCTTAGAAGCAAGGGTGGTAAGACTTCATCTCACATACTTCGGACATGTTATCAGGAGGGATCAGTCCCTGGAGTAGGACATCATGCTTGGTAAAGTAAAAGGTCAGTGAAAGAGATGAAAACCCTCAATAAGATGGATTGACGCAATGGCTGCAACAATAGGCTTTGACATAGCAGTGAGTATGCGGATAGTGTAGGACCAGGCAGTGTTTTGTTCTGTTGTACGTCGGGTTGCTATGAGTCAGAACCAGCTCAGTGGCACTTAACAACAACAACAGATCTATCCAGATTTCAAGGGATACTAAAATTAGGAAATTCACTGGAAAGTGTACTCTTGAGAGGGGGTCAAAGGTGTGGTGGACACACTTCTGCTGAAGGGATTAGGTATTTGACATGGATTCAGTCAGCAGAATCCCCATACAGAGATGGGGTTAAACATGAAGGATCTGTGGAGTGTCATGTTGCCTAATGATGTGGATACCTTTGACTTATGCAGAAGACTCATGAGGTTTTTGAGAATGTTGTATCAGTAGAAATACAGCTTGGAATGAAAGTGACAGAGACAGGACAAAATGAGAGGCTACAGACTTCCAGAATTTTTCAGGCAGGTAATGAACTGATCTACCCAACTGCAAACATGTTCTACCCTGCAAGGAAAATGAAGAATGACTCCAATGGTGATGCCACTGGAGTGTTACAGAAGTTGGCAGGACTGCCATAGCTGGCACGGAGGCTGGTAGGGCTTCCGCATGTGATGTAGAGGTCTGAGGATCAAGCCACATAGGATTATTTTCAGTCCTTGCAGTCTAATGCAGTATTCCCTGCTCGTTTCAGCCATGCTTGGTACTGATGATTTCTTCCAGTTCCTCCATTTTGGAATGGGATTATCTATTTTATGTTGTACATAGGGTCACAGTGAGTCAGAACTGACTTGACGGTGCCTAACAACAACAATCTTATGGCTGCCCACCATTGTATTTCTTTCTGTACGGATATACCAACATTTGTTATTCATTCACCTGTTGATAGACATTTGGATTGTTTTCAGTTTGAGGGAGTTACAAATACAGATACTATGAACGTTCATGTACAAGTCAATGTATACACATAGTTTTCTTTTTTTCTCTTGGGTAAATACTTGAGTGGAATGACTGGATCATACGATAGGTGTATGTTTAATTTTTTAAGGAATTGCCAAACTACTTTCAAAAGTAGTTGTACCATTTTACATCCCCGTCCCTGCCAAGTGTATGAGAATTTCAGTTTCTCTACATCTTTGTCAAGGGTTGGTATTTTCAGTCTTTTAAGTTTTAGCAGTTCCAATAGGTGACTTTAATTTGCATTTGTCTAATGACTAATGATGTTGAGCACCTTGCCATGTGCTTATTTGCCATCCATATATCTTCTTTTTTGAAATACCCATTCTAATATTTTGCCCACTTTTTAATTGAGTCACTTGATTTTTATTGTTGAGTTTTGTGAGTACTTCACATATTCTGGAAATAAGCCCTTCATCAGATATGTTATTTGTAAACATTTTCTCTAAGTCTGTGGCTTGACTTTTCATTTTCTTAACAGTGTCTTGTCTTTCATAGAGCAAAGTTTTAATTTTTATGAAGTTCAGTTTATCAATATTTTCTTTTATGGATTGTGCTTTTGTTGTTATATCTAAGAACTACTTGTTTAACCCAGACTCATGTAGATATTTTCCTAGAAGTTTTATATTTTACATGTAGGTCTATGATCCATTTTGAATTTACTTTTGTGTGTGGGTTGTTTCATGTCTTTTGCACGTGGATGTTCAATTAATCCAGTAGTAATCCAGTTAAGGAGCCCTGGTGCACAGTGGTTAAGAGCTCAGCTGCTAATCAAAAGGTCGGCAGTTCGAATCCACCAGCCGCTCCTTGGAAACCCTACCAGGCAGTTATACTCTGTCCTGTAGGGTCACTAGGAGTTGGAATTGACTCAACGGCAACAGTTTTTTGTTTGTTTGTTTGTTTACTTAATCAATTAGTTTATTAATCCAAAAGTACCATTTCTTAAAAGACTATTGTTTCTCTATTGAATTGCCTTTGTACTTTGATCAAAAATCAGTTGACTATATTTGTGTGGGTTCCACCATCGTATTTTTGAAGGAGATGACTTGTTTTCTAATTTCAGAGGTCCACAGATGGAGAGGAATTTTGCCCCAGGATAGATTTAGATACCTGCTTTTGATAGCAACCCTATACATAAATCTTCTACAACTTAACCACAGAAAGATAAACAATCCAATCAAAAAATAGTCAAAGGACTTAAACAGACATTTCACCAAAGAGGATATTCAAATGGCCAATAACTACATTTCTCCAGTAAAGATGCTCAACATCCTTAGCCATTAGAAAGATACAAATCAAACCCACAGTGGGATACCACCTCATTCCAACTAGGATGGCTAAGATAAAAATGGTAGATAACAAGCGTTAGCAAGGCTATGGAGAAATTGGAACCCTTTGCATTTCTGGTGGGAATTCAAAATGGTACAGCCACTGTGGAAAACAGTTTGATGTTTCCTCAGAAAGTTAAATATAGAGCTAGCGTATGACCCAGTTGTTCTACTGAAAAGCATATACCCAAGCTACCTGAAAGCAACACATTGTACAGCAATGTTCATTGCAGCACTACTCACAATAGCCAAAAGGTGGAAACATCCTAAGTGTCCATCAGTGGATGAATGGATAAACAAAATGTGTTGCATACACACACTGGAATACTACTCAACCATAAAGAAAAATGAATTCATGATAAATGCTATTACATAGATGAACCTCAAAAACCATATGCTCGGTGAAGTAAGTTAATCACGAAAGGACAAATATTATATGATCTCACTTACATGAGATAACAAGAATAGGGAAATGTACAGAGACCAAAATTTGTTAGTGGTTACCAGGTATGGGGGAGGCAGGAAACGGGTTGTCTTCGTTTAGTGATTATATGTCCTTACGTGTATCTTGAGGCTTTTTTTGGGGGGGCGGGGGGGACCATAATAGCTTTCATAGGTGTTTCAGTAGGAAATACAGTGTATGCTTACTGATGTCTGTAAGAGAATATCTCGCCACCTTTGGTGGGGCAATTTCTGCAGGCAGCTTTGGTTTTCCTGAACTCTGTATTCTAGGAAAAAGTGTGCTATATGTCTTCAGAGAGCATTGAAGAGATCCATTGGCACTGTTATAAACCATGAATGTTTTAGAGTTTGGAAGCATACATTAATTTATCAACTTTGACTTGTAGCTGTCTGTGGTTTCAAGTTTAAGGTGTTTTTCAAGGAAAGTCTGCTTAATCCAACACATATGGGACATCAGTTTGACCTGTTGAGTTGTTCTTCACAGCTTTAGGAGGCTTACCACCATGGCACAAGTTGAACTTCAACTGCATCAGAGTCCTCTTAGTTGAGGTTGTTTTTCAGTTTTGTTATTTTTGGGTTTTCTGTTGATGTGGTATTTTATGAGTTTCTTGAAAGTTCTAGTAATAGCAGGACAAGGTAAGGGTAACAGATTGAATGCTGCGTTCTTTCTGTGGCTTGGGTCAGAAAGTTGATGGGATAGATGCTTCGACTCTTATAGATCTGTAGAAGAGTTCCTACTTGAGTTTCTATCTCAGAGTTCTTGTGCTCCAGGCAATATGATGATAGCTCTGAGCTGTCAGTTGTGCAAGTAAATTTCCTCACTGATGACACCGTTGAAGCCCAGTGGTTGTGACTGTACATTGGAAGTGGTAAGGTCTTTGAATCCCTAGAATGAATTTATCCCTGATCGTCGTGCTTTGAAGTGACTATTTCACTTCCAAGTTCTCCATATCCTGGAGAGGGGAGATCTTCTGTAGATGTAAGGAGTAGACATTTTAGTTTGAGTCAGTTTGAATCAGTTATGGCCTTTTCAGTCATGCAGCACCCCTCCTTGGCCAGAGTCTCAGATGTGCCGTATTTCATTGCTAGGTCTTAATTTTCTTCTGTTCCATGGTTATATCAATGAAAGGCAGTTAATTTTGCACTGCTTCCAAAGTCACAGGGTCAGCATTGGTTTATAATGATTTGCGAGGAAGAGCAAATAACTGGAGGCCAGGAGTTTCCATAGAAATTTGTGACTGTGAGGTCGGTGGACTCTGGCATTGTAGAAAATCTACAGATGGTCAGAGTTGGTAACTTTGTGTTTGAAGGCATCGATGTTCTGGATCAGTTCTGCAGGGTTTGGGACCAAAGAATTTTGCAGTGGACACTTTTAAACCCTGCCGAACATCTTAGCCATAAACAGACACACATGTATAAGTTTGGTCATACATCTGTGAGTAGCAGAAGAGAAGAAAAGGGACAAACACGATATTCATGTATGAGAAAGCATGTATTTTAACTTGTTATACGTGTAACCCTGAGAGTATGTAAAGTGAGCCTGTTTGCTCTAAATTTCTCAGATGGAGTTGCCATGGAGAGAATGCAACGCGGATCGCAAGATGTTTACTGTGTTCCATCGCACTCAGAGATGCAAGGGAGCCCTTGGAATTGGTGCAGCCACGTGTCCTAAGGAAACCGGAGATCGCTCAGGCAGTAAGCATTTTTTGGCCAAGGTTAGGGAGATGATCGAGGGAATTTTATAGGGGGCAAGGCCTATTTCTCGTTATTCACCAATGACATGCAGAGGTCCACTTCTTGTGCACATTGACCTTTTTCCACTGTCAATGGTGTGGCTCTTTATGCTTGTCATTGCTGGAGACTTTTGAGCGCATTGGCTGTGCAACTGCTCAACCTGTAGGTTCACAAGGGCAAGTGCCTATGAACGTGCATGGATCGATGATGTCTCCCACCTAAACATTCCTTGGAAAAGCTGAACAAAATGAGTGAAAACTCTACCGTCTCGCTTATCGAACTGAGGTCCAGCACGTTTCATCAAGCCACAGAAACGAGTGAGGGATCATGAGCATTTGTTCATACTCCTGCCAGTAAGAAGTGCCTGTACCTTTGGAAGTGTCGGTCTCACGGGCAGTGCAAACATTTTCTCAGGTAGACGTCCTCGACTAGCAGATTCCCTGGTGGAATGGCTGCTCCTGAGTGCAAGGTTGCCAGATCCTGTGTGTTTTATTCCAGTAGGTGATTGTGGAGGTAGCATAGGAAGGGTAGTCCCTCAAGTGGCTGCGTTCTTGCATTTATGCTTGTCATTGCTGGAGACTTTTGAGCGCATTGGCTGTGCAACTGCTCAACCTGTAGGTTCACAAGGGCAAGTGCCTATGAACGTGCATGGATCGATGATGACTCTATCAGGTCACACAGTTAGTCATACAAGTTGTTTCTTGGTTTGGTGACTGAAATTGACTGCCAGCAGTGTTTGAGCAGCATGAATAGGAAATTGAGATGGGACATTATCCATACTCACTTCATTCACAAACAGTGTGGTGACTTGTTTTCTAGAAATTGACTTGTCCATCTCTTTAGAATGGGAATTCTGATGCTCTCCTGCTTGATGACCCTGGTTAGGTGAACAGAGTCTATCTTGTGATACAATTGTACGACTTTTTGTGTATCAGTAGCCTTTTTTGTTTTTTTCTGGTGCAGTCTCACCTTTTACCTGCACTTCATGAGGAACTTAAGATATGGTTCGTGGTGTCCCAAAGGGAATGTCTGGCGGCCATTAGTAGGGTATTTCTGCAGGCAGCTTTTGTTTACCTGGAGTCAGTAGTCCCGTGAGTAAGCCTGCTATTGAGTGTCTTGAGAGGGCATTGAAGAGCTGCATGGACACAGTGCTGTCAACCGTGGAAGTTTTAGAGTTAGGAAGGATGTATTCATTTCTCTACTTTCACTTGTAGCCCCCTGAGCTTTCAAGTTAAGGAGTTTTTCTCATAGTCTGATTTCACCCCACACATATGGGACGTCAGTTTGAACAATATAGCTGTTCTTTGCAAATCTAGGAGGCTCACTACCATGGTAGAAATGGCACTTAAACTGCATCAAAGTACTTCAGTTAAGGTTTTTTGGGTTTTTTTTTTCCTTTCCAATTTCGTCATTGGGGGGTGTTCTGTTGATGTGGTATTTTATGTGTTTCTTGAAAATTCTAGTAATAGTGTATGGTGCTACATGCCTTCTGTGGGTTAGGTCAGAAGGGTCCTGGGACAGTCATTTCAACTCTTGAGGATCTATAGTAGGTTTCCTCCTTGAGTTTCTATGTCAGGGTTCTTGTGCTCCAGACAACATGATGATAGCTCTGAGTAGTCAGTTGTGGGAGTGAGGTTCCTTGGTGGTCACAGCAGTGAAGCCCAGTGGTTGTCACTGCATTGAAAGTGGTGGTGTCTTTGAATCTCTGGAAGGAATTTATTGTAGACCATTGTGTATTGGAGGTGCCTGGGTAATGAGGGTTCTGTGTTGTCCTGGAGAAGGGAGGTTTTCTGTAGTTGTAATGAGGCAGAACATGATTTGTGTTAGCCATGAACTCTTTGTCATGCAGCTTGGCTCCATTTGGGCCAGTGTCCCAGAGTTGCCATATTTTGTTGCCGGGTTTTCGTTTTCTGGGACTACATGGGTTTACCACCCAAACGCAGTTCGTTTTGCACTGCTTGCAGAGTCCCAATGTCGGCATTTTTTTGTAGCATTTTTCAAGGAAGAGAGCATATGTAAAGGCTAGGAATTTCTATGGAAATTTGTGCCGGAAAGGTGAAAGGGCTTAGGCACTGTGTGAAATCCAGAAGTGGTCATAGTTGGCAACTGTGTTTCCAGGCATCGGTGCTCTGGAGCATGTGTGCAGGATTGGGACCAGAGAATTGTGCAGAGTTGATGCTCTTATACCCCCGGAAGCTCTCAGGCACACACACACATACATGTTCCAATTTGGTCATACCTCCATGAATACAAGAAGAGAAGAATAGGGACAAACATGAAATTCATGTATGAGAAAGCATGTATTTACACTTGTTATGCATGTAACCCTGAAACCATTTTGCTCTACCCTTCTCAGGAAGAGTTGTCATGGAGAGAATGCAACGCGGATCGCAAGATGTTTTCTGTGTTCCGTCGCACCCAGAGATGAAAGGGAGCCCTTGGAATTGGTGCGGCCACATGTCCTAAGGAAACTGGAGATTTCTCAGGCAGTAAGCATTTTTTGGCCAAGGTTAGGGAGATGAGTGAGGGAATTTTGTAGGGGCAAGGCCTTTTTCTTGTTGTTCATCAGTGACATGCAGAGGTCCACTTCTTGTGCACATTGGCCCTTTTCCAGTGTCAATGGTGTGGCTCTTTATGCTTGTCATTGCTGGAGACTTTTGAGCGCTTTGGCTGTGCAACTGCTCAACCTGTAGGTTCACAAGGGCAAGTGCCTATGAACGTGCATGGATCGATGATGACTCCCACCCAAACATTCCTTGGAAAAGCTGAACAAAATGAGTGAAAACTCTCTACCGTCTCGCTCGTCGAACTGAGGTCCAGCACGTTTCATTAAGTCATAGAAACGAGTGAGGGACCACGTGCATTTGTTCATGCTCCTGCCAGTAAGAAGTGCCTGTACCTTTGGAAGTGTCGGTCTCACGGGCAGTGCAAACATTTTCTCAGGTAGACGTCCTCGACTAGCAGACTCCCTGGTGGAATGGCTGCTCTTGAGCGCAAGGTTGCCAGATCCTGTGTGTTTTATTCCAGTAGGTGATTGTGGAGGTAGCATAGGAAGGGTAGTCCCTCAAGTGGCTGCGTTCTTGCATTTTTGTCCATCAGGTTATCCCGTTGACTGCATGTCACTGCTTGAAGGGAAACAGAGACTCTTCCGTGATGCAGAGACCCTATCAGGTCACACAGTTAGTCATACAAGTTGTTTCTTGGTTTGGTGACTGAAATTGACTGCCAGCAGTGTTTGAGCAGCATGAATAGGAAATTGAGATGGGACATTATCCATACTCACTTCATTCACAAACAGTGTGGTGACTTGTTTTCTAGAAATTGACTTGTCCATCTCTTTAGAATGGGAATTCTGATGCTCTCCTGCTTGATGACACTGGTCAGGTGAACAGAGAGTGTAGCTTATGATCTGATTATATGTCCTGTTGTGTATCAGTAGCCTTTTTTGTTTTTTTCTGGTGCTGTCTTACCTTTCACCTGTGCTTCTAGGAGGACTTAAGGTATGGTTCGTGGGGTCCCAAAGGGAATGTCTAGCAGCCATTGGTAGGGTATTTCTGCAGGCAGCTTTTGTTTACCTGGATTCTATAGTCCAGTGAGTAAGCCTGCTTATGAGTGTCTTGAGAGGGCATTGAAGAGGTGAATGGGCACAGTATTGTCAACCATGGAAGTTTTAGAATTTGGAAGCATATATTCTTTTCTCTAGTTTGACTAGTCACCCACTGAGGTTTCAAGTTTGAGGAGTTTTTCTTAGAAAGTCTGCTTCACCCCCACACATATGGGAAGTCAGTTTGAGCAGGAGAAGTGTTCACTGCAAATCTAGGAGGCTCACTACTATGGTAGAAATGGCACTTAAACTGCATCAAAGTCCTCTAATTGAGTTTTGTTTTTTCTTCAGTTTTGTCATTTGTGGGTATTCTGTTGATGTAGTTTATGTGTTTCTTGAAAATTATACTAATAGAAGATAATGTATGATTTAACAGATTGTGCCTTTGGTGGGTTTGGGCAGAAGGGTCCTGGGATAGTCATTTCAACTCTTGAGGATCATAGTAGGTGTCCTCTTTGAGTTTCTATGTCAGAGTTCTTGTGCTCCAGACGACATGATGATAGCTCCGAGTTGGCACTTGTGGGAGTGAGGTTCCTTGGCGGTCACAGCAGTGAAGCCCAGTGGTTGTGACTGCGTTGGAAGTGGTAACATGTTTGAATCTCTGGAAGGGATTTATCGTGGACCATTGTGTATTGGATGTGCCCATGTTAATGAGTATTCTCTGTTGTCTTGGAGAGGGGAGGTTTTCTACAGTTGTAATGAGACAGGACATGGTTTGTGTCAGCAATGGCCTCTTTGTCGTGCACATCGGCTCCATTTGGGCCAGTGTCCCAGAGTTCCCATATTTTATCACTGAGTTTTTATTTTCTGGTGTTTCCTGGGTTTATCAACCAAAGGCAGTTCGTTTTGCACTGTTTGCAGAGTCCCACTGTTGGTGTTGGTTTGTAGTGTTTTTCAAGGAGGAGTGCATAAGTAAAGGCTAGGAATTTCTATGGAAATTTGTGTTGGAAAGGTGAAAGAGCTTAGGCATTGTGTGAAATCCAGAAGTGGTCATAGTTGGCAACTTTATGTTTGCAGGCATCAGTGTTCTGGAGCATGTGTGCAGGGTTGGGACCAGAGAATTGTGCAGAATTGACACTTTTATACCCTCTGGTAGCTCTCAGGCATACACAGACATACATGTTCCAATTTGGTCGTAGCTCCATAAATTCCAGAAGAGAAGGAAAGGGACAAACGTGATATTAACGTATGAGAAAGCATGTATTTGCACTTGTTATGCGTGTAACCCTGAAACCATCTCAAGTGATCCTGTGTTTGCTCTCAACTTCTCAGGTGGAGTTGCCATGGAGAGGATGCAACGCGGATCGCAAGATGTTTCCTGTGTTCCATCGCACCCAGAGATGCAAGGGAGCCCTTGGAATTGGTGTGGCCACATGTCCTAAGGAAACTGGAGATTTCTCAGGCAGTAAGCATTTTTTGGCCAAGGTTAGGGAGATGATTGAGGGAATTTTGTAGGGGCAAGGCCTTTTTCTCGTTCTTCATCAGTGACATGCAGAGGTCCACTTCTTGTGCACATTGGCCCTTTTCCAGTGTCAGTAGCATGGCTCTTTATGCTCGCCAGTGCCGGAGACTTTTGAGCACTTTGGCTATGCAGGTGCTCAACCTGTAGGTTCACAAGGGCAAGTGCCTGTGAACGTGCATGGATCGATGATGACTCCCACCTAAACATTCCTTGGAAAAGCTGAACAAAATGAGTGAAAACTCTCTACCGTCTCACTCAGCATGTTTCATCAAGGTGGGGAAACGAGTGAGGGACCACGTGCATTTGTTCATACTCCTGCCAGTAAGAAGTGCCTGAACCTTTGGAAGCCTCGGTCTCATGGGCAATGGAAACATTTTCTCAGGTAGTCGTCTAGGAGTAGCAGATTCCTGAGTGGAATGGCTGGTCTTTAGTTCAAGGTTGCCTGGAAATGTGTGTTTTGTTCAAGTAGGTGATTTTGGAGGTGGCATAGGAGCAGCACTCCCTCATGTGGCTGTGTTCTTGCATTTTTGTTGTTCACGTTAGCCTGTTGACTGCATGCCACTACTCAAAGTGAAACAGGGACTCATCAGTCATGCTGAGACCCCATCAAGTCACACAGTTGTCACATGTTTTATTGTTCTCGGTTTGTTGACAGAATTTGCCTGTCAACAGTATTCGGGTAACATGAGTAGGAAATTGAGATGGGGCATATCCATACTCACTTCAGGAGCAAAAACAGTGCAGTCCCACGTTTTCCAGAAATTGATTTTTCCATTTCTAGATAGGGAATCTAAATGCTCCCCTGCTTGATGACCCTTTTCAGGTGATCACAGGTTTGTAGATTGTGATTTGATTGTATGTCCTTTTGTGTATCATGAGCTGTTTTTTCTCCTGGGATTGCCATCCCTTTCTCATGGGAAATGGAAAGTATGGTGAGTATTGCCCCAAAGGCAATGTCTGGCAGCCGTTGGTAGAGTTTTTCTCCGGAAGGCTTGTTTACCTGGAGTCTATATTCCAGTGAGTAAGCATGATAAGTGTCTTCAGAGGGCATTAAAGAGGTACATGGGCACAGCATTGTCAACCATGGATGAATGAGTGTCCAGGTGACATAGGTAACACGGTCCCGCAGCCTGGTTCTATGTTGGCCTTTTTTTTTTGTCCTTCGAGCATACTCCTTAGCTGCCAGTCCCTTTTACAATGAAAGAGAGCCATATCGGTTATGGTTAGAACCTCATACCATGGAATTAGCAAGATCTTCCTGCAGTTTTTCATTGAGCAAGGAAAAGGAGTGCTATTTGGAATGCATAAAATGAAAAGCAGTATTTGGTGACCATATAGCTATACTCATTTCACGCAAGAACCAATCCAGTCACATCATTTCAAACCATTGCCTTGCCTATGGCTATGGCAACATGCTGTAGTGACTGTTGGCCATGGGAAGAATGCAAGAGGAAAAATTTCTCAAAAAGTGTTTATGTGTCCTGAAGTGTGTTTGGCAGAGCATCTTTTTCCTGACTTTGGCCTAGGTGTTTCTGGGTTTTTCAATTTGGTAGTCAGTAGTTTGAGATACAGTTCCTGGAGGGAATGTGTGCATGCGCATGGTGGAGTGTAGTTTGGCATTCCACATTTAATTACCTTCTGTGTGTTTTCCCAGGTTGTTAGCTTGGTTGTTGTCTTTATGGAGCCTTGAAGTGATCCATAGGCATACGCTAGTCTTTTATCATTAAAGTTCAAATGCAAGCATTCATTCATGTCTCCAGTTTTCCCGTTCTCCCTATCTTACCCCCAGGGATTTTGAATATGTGACTTGGTCCTGGAAGTCAGGGAAGCAGGCTGCATAATGTCTGGGCTATTCACTAGCATGGGAAGAATTATACCTTACCTTCATCAGTTCAAGTCCAATGTCTTCCAAAGATACAACACTAGTGTTGCTATCACACTCATTTTGAAGTAGAAGGTAGAGAAAGAGGCAGGTGTTTTTAAAGAAAGCCATTTGTCAAACGCACACAGCACCTTTTAGCATCCACGAGTGGTCAAGATAGGTACATTTATGTTGCTGGTGATTGCCTTTCAGGTGTAACCATGCTGGGTTTTTGACCAGGTGATTTCCTAGACAGATCTTTGGTACCATGTTTCATAGTTCTATGAAAACAAACATGTGCTATGTAGCACACATGCATATATGTATGATGTCACTCAGCAATACATACATTCTGCCATATTCAAAGTCAATGAAGTATAGCCACAGGCAATCCACCTGGGAAACCAATGGTGTTTTGATTGTTGCCTGTGTTGTACTTGTGTCAGGATCTAAGGAGTGCCTCTCTTTCCTCTTACACTTTTCAGATGGAGTTTGTCTGGAATGGAAGCCAAGTGGATTGAAGGAAATTCCAGGTTGCCTTTCAATCCCACAGAGGGTATGGAGTCACTGGACGGATGGCGGCGTCAGGTCTGAGCATAGGTGTTGAATCGCCTAGGGAGGGTCAGTATATTTGTGCTGGGATAGAATTCTCACGAGGATTCCATAGGCCTGCAGTGACCTATTTTTTCCTGTGTCATTAATGGCATGTGGAATTTCACCTCTTAAAGGGATTGACTCCTGTTTTCCCTCAATACGTTGGCCCTGGAGCTCCATATTGTTGGCAGTCTTTTGAGTTCTTCACCTGTCCAAAAGGACAGGCTACACCTTAAACAATCCAGTGCTTGTGAATGTGCTTGGATCGATGATGACTTCCACATATTCATTCCTTGGAAATCTGAACAAAATGAGTGAAAACCCCCTACCGTCTCACTCATCAACCTGAGGTCCAGCACACTGATTTTCTGGCCAATACACGATTGAGGAACAACATCCATTGCCTCCTTTTTGTGGCCCCAAATTCTGCCAGAACTTCTGGAGGTGCCCAGCTTTGTGCCCAGGGTGGCTTCCAGTCCTTCTTACCTCATTGGCTAGCAGAGTCCTTGCTAGGTTGGCCACAGAGTGAGGGCAAGCTTGAGCACACATGTACAGGTTGATTGAGGACACAAGGGAGTGTCTAGGTGGCCTAGGCCCCGTGATCCTGCAGCATGAGTCTGTTCTGACCTGTTTTTGGCACTTCGGGCATACCCCTAACTACCAGTCCCTAATACATGGGAAGACAGTCTCATAGGCTATGCTTAGAGTCTCATGTGATGCAATTAGCAAGATCATTTCACATTTTTTCATTGAGCAAGAAAAAGGGGTGTCAGACGGGATACTTGGAATGAAAAACAATATGTAATGGCTGTGTAGCTATGCTCATTTCATGAAAGAACAAATCTAGTCACATGCATTTGAATCATTGCCTTGTGTATGGCTATGGAAACGTGCCATAGCATCTGTTGGCCATGGGAAGAAGGTAAGGGAGAATTGCTAATAACGTGTTTATGTGTCCTAAATTGTGTTTGGTGGAGGATTTTTTCCTTAAGTTTTGCCTGTGTGTTTCTGTGCTTTTCAGTTTGGAAGTGAGGAGTCTGAGATACAGTTCCTGGAAGGGAATTTGCAGATGTATGTGGGTGTGTTTAGTTTGTCCTTTGACCTTGAATGGCCTACTGTGAATATCTCAAAGTTGTTAGCTCGGTTGTTGTCTTTATGGAGTGTTGAAGAGATCCATTGGCATAGGCTTGCCTTCCGTTGTTAAAGTCCAACTGGGAGCATTCATTCATGTCTCCAGTTTGCCCATTCCCCACCCGCCCCCCATGGTTCTCCGGAAAGGTGTTGTTCGAGGAAGGCCTATCTCACTCGTCAGCACAGGGAATATATGACTTGGCATTGGTGCACTTAGTCCTGGAAGTCAGGGCAATGAGCTGCATAGCATCTGGGCATTTCACTGGCAGGGGAAGAGTTGTACCTTACCTTCATCAGAATTTCCTCAGTTGTGGGGGACATTCATTTCATTGGTTTCTGCTGCCATTATGGTTGAAGAAGTTCAGCCGTTTTAGAAGTGATAGATGATATATTGACGTCTGCCTGTTTCAATCATGTAAGTTCAGGATAATCTTGGTTTTCATCCTTTTGTTGTTGGAATTGTACATAGCAGGCTCTTCACCTGGGAAACCAGTGGTGTTGTGATTGCTGCCTGTGTTGTACTTGTGTCTGGATCTCAGGAATGCCTCTCTTTCCTCTTACACTTTTCAGATGGAGGTTCTCTGGAAAGAAAGCCAGGTGGATCCAAGGAAATTCCAGGTTGCCTTTCAATCTCACAGAGGTTATGGAGTTACTGGACTAATGACGGCCTTGGGTCTGAATGCAGGCTATGGATCGCCCAGGGCAGGTCAGTATACTTGTGCCAGAATGGAATTCTCACGAGGATTCCATAGGCCTGCAGTGACGTGTTCTTCCCACATTATTAATGGCATGTGGAAGTTCTCCTCTTGAGTGGATTGACTCCTGTCTTCGCTCATTGCATTGGTCGTGAAGCTCCATGTTGCTGGCAGTGTTTTGAGTTGTCCAAAATGACAGGCTACACCTTGAACAATCCAGTGCTTATAAATGTGCTTGGATCGATGATGACTTCCACTTATACATTCCTTGGAAATCTGAACAAAATGAGTGAAAAACCCCTACCGTCTGACTCATCAACCTGAGGTCTGGCACATTGATTCTGGCCAGTTACACGAGTGAGGGGCGACATCCATTCGCTCTCCTTCGTGGCCCCAAATTCTGCCAGAACTTACGGAAGTGCCCAGTTTTGCACACATGGTGACATCCATTCCTATAGACCTCATTGACTAGCATATTCCTTGCTGGGTTGGCCACACAACGAGGGCAAACTCGTGCACACATGTACAGGTTGAATGAGCACACGAGTGAGTGAGTGTCTAGGCAGTACAGGCCCCGTGAACCAGCAGCCTGGGTCTGTCCTGGCCTGTTTTGGGTCCTTTGGGCATACCAGCTAGCTGCCAGTCCCTACTACTACAAGGAAAGGGCCTCATAGGTTATGCAAGAGTCTCATGTCATGCAATTAGGAAGATCTTTCTATATTTTTTTATTGGACAAGAAAAAAAAGTCTCAGATAGGATACGTACAACGAAAAACAATATGTGATGGTCATGTACCCTGCACGTTTTTCACCTAAGAACCAGCTCAGTCATGGGGATTCGAATCATTGCCTTGTGTATGGCTATGTAAACGGACCATGGCGTCTGCTGGGCATGGGAAGAAGGAAAGAGGGAGGATTGCTAATAAAGTGTTTATGTTTCCTAAAGTGTGTCTGGCAGAGGATTTTTCCCTATGGTTGGCCTGTGTGTTTCTATTTGGAAGTGAGGGGTCTGATGTATAGTTCCTGGAAGGTGTGTGCAGATGTGCGTGGGTGAGTGTAGTTTGTCCTTTGACCTTGAATGGCCTACTGAGGATATTTCTGAGTTCTTAGCTCAGTTGTTGTCTTTATGGAGCATTGAAGAGATCCATTGGCATTGGTTTGCCTTCCATCGTTAAAGTCCAGCTGGGGGCATTCATTCGTCTCTCCAGTTTGCCCATTCTCCCTCCATGGTTCTTCCAGGAAGGTGTTTTTCAAGGAAGGCCTATCTCACTTGTCAGCACAGGGAATATATGACTTGGCATTGGTGCACTTAGTCCTGGAAGTCAGGGCAATGAGCTGCATAGCATTTGGGCATTTCACTGGCAGAGGAAGAGTTGTACCTTACCTTCATCAGAATCTCCTCAGTTGTGGGGGACGTTCACTTCGTTGGTGTCTGCTGTCTTTGTAGTTGAGGAAGTTTAGATGTTTTAGGGGTGATAGATGATATGTTGACATCTGCCTGTTTCAGTCATGTAAGTTCAGGATGATCTTGGCTTTCATCCTTTTGTCCTTGGGATTGTATGTAGCAAAAATTGCAACTTGGGGTTAGACTGCAGGGTGGTTGTGTGGCCTGCATGGAGGTGATACCTGTGTGTGGTGAGGAGAGTGGTGAAGTGTCCTGTGCTGCCACAGCATTGAAGCTCAGAGAATGTGGAAAGGCAAGTAAAGTGAGAATTGGCCCAGTTCCCTGTTAGAGACACAAGCCCCCAATATTGTTCCTACCCATTGAGCTCTCGGCTGAGGCTTGCACCTGGGCGTAGCTAGGGGCTTTTTCTCTTAGTTATGAGGAACAAGGAGCAAGCTTGAATCAGTGTTGACCGTGTAAACCTAGCAGCTTCTGCTTCTTGTCCTATTTACCAGAGGTGCAGCATGTTTTCCCAGTGTCTGTGGTGCTCGTGAGTGTGTGACCAAGGGCAGTTGAATTCTGACTTTTCCAAACATATAACACCAATGTCACTATCAAACTCATTTTCAGGTAGCAGGTAGAGCAAGAGGCAGGGTGCATTCAAACAAAGCCATTTATCCAGGGCACACGGCCCCTTTTAGCATGCACAAGTGGTCAAGACAGGCACGTTTATGCTCAGGCCATTGCCCTTCAGGTGTTCGCATGTTGGGTTTTTGACCAGGTGGTCGTCCAAAATGAATGTTTTTTACCATGTGACGTAGCTCTCTTAATAGACACACTTGCACAAGCGGACATATATACGTATATTATGTCACTCGTACCTACATGCCTGCCTCTATTCAAAGTCAGTGAAGTACAGCCCCAGGCCATCTTCCTGGGAGAGCAACGGTGTTGTGATTGTTGCCTGTGTTGTACTTGTGTCTGGATCTCAGGAGTGCCTCTCTTTCCTTTTACACTTTTTAGATGGAATTTGTCTGGAATGAAAGCCAAGTGGATTGAAGGAAATTCAAGTTTGCCTTTCAATCCCGCAGAGGGTATGGAGTCACTGGACTAATGGCGGTGTCGGGTCAGAATGCAGGCTATGGATCGCCCAGGGCAGGTCAGTATATTTGTACCTGGACCGAATTCTCATGAGGATTCCATAGGCCAGCAGTGACCTATTTCTTCCCATGACACTGATGGCATGTGGAATTTCACCTCTTGAGGGGATTGGATCCTGTCTACCTCAGTGACTCAGCTCCATGTTGCTGGCAGTCTTTTGAGTTCTTCAGCTGTCCAGAAGGACACACTACACCTTGAACAATCCAGTGCTTATAAATGTGCTTGGATCGATGATGACTTCCACATATACATTCCTTGGAAATCTGAACAAAACGAGTGAAAACCCCCTACCGTCTCGCTCATTGACATGAGGTCCAGCACATTGTCTGATTCTGGCCAGTACATGAGTGAGGGACAACATCTATTGGCTCCTCTTCATGGCCCCAAATTCTGCCAGAACTTCTGGAAGTGCCCAGTTTTGTGCACAGGATAACATCCAGTACTACAGACCGCATTGGGTAGCTGATTCCTTGCTAGGTTGTCCACACAATGAGGGCAAGATTGTGCACACATGTACAGGTTGAATGAGCACTCAAGTGAGTGTCTAGATGGTGTAGTCCCCGTGATTCCAAAGCATGGCTCTGTCCTGCCCTGGTTTTGGTCCTTCCGGCAAGCCTGCTAGCTGCCAATCCCTATTATAAGGAAAAAAAGCCTCATAGGCTGTGCTTGGAGTCTGATGTCACGTAATTAGCAAGATCTTTCCGCATTTTTTATTAGGCAAGGAGAAGGAGTCTCAGACAGGATAAGTAGAATATAAAAACAGTATGTGATGGTTATGTAGCTTTGCTTATTTCAGGCAAAAACCAATCCAGTCATATGGATCTGAATCATTGTCTTGTCTTTGGCTATGACAACATGCCTTGGCACCTGTTGGCCATAGGAAGAAGGAAGGAGGGAGAATTGCTAATAAAATGTTTATGTGTCCTAACATGTTTGGCAGAAGATTTATTTCCCTAAGGTTTGCCTAGATGTTTCTGTGCTTTTCAGTTGGAAGTGAGGGGTCTGAGATCTTGGAATGGAATGTGCGGATGTGCATGGGTGAATGTAGTCTGTCCTTCAACCTTGAATGGCCTGCTGTGAATATTTCCAAGTTTTAGCTTGGTTGTTGTCTTTATGGAGTGATGAAGAGATCCATTGGCATAGGCTCGCCTTCCGTCGTTAAAGTCCAACTAGGAGTATTCATTCATGTCTCCAGTTTGCCCATTCTCCCTCCATGGTTCTTCAGGGAATGTATTGTTCGAGGAAGCACTATCTCACTTGTCAGTACAGGGAATATATGGCTTGGTTTCAGTGCACTTAGTCCTGGAAGTCAGGGCAATGAGCTGCATAGCATCTGGGCATTTCACTGGCAGGGGAAGAGTTATATCTTACCTTCATCAGAATCTCCTCAGTTGTGGGGGACATTTCATTTCATTGGTTTCTGCTGTCTTTATGGTTGGAGAAGTTTAGCTGTTTTAGGAGTGATAGATGATATGTTGACGTCTGCACATTTCAATCATGCAAAATTAGGATGATCTTGGCATTTATCCTTTTGGCTCCGGGCATATAGTAGGAAGGAATTGGAACTTGAGGTTAGACTGCACGGTGGTTGTGTGGCCTGCATGGAGGTGAGGAGAGTGGTGAAGTGTCCTGTGCTGCCACTGCATTGAAACTCAGAGAATGTGGAAAGGCAAGTAAAATGAGAACTAGCCCAATTCCCTGTTAGAGACACAAGCCCCTAATACCGTTCCTGCCCATTGAGCTCTCGGCTGAGGCTTGCGCCTGGGCGTAGCTAGGGGATTTTTCCCTTAGTTATGAGAAGCAAGGAGCAAGCTTGAACCAGTGTTGACCGTGTAAGCCGGGCAGGTTCTGCTTCTTGTCCTATTTACTAGAGGTGATGCATGTTTTCACAGTGTCTGTATTGCCAGGTGCTCATGAATGTGTGACCAAGGGCAGTTGAATTCCAACTTCTTCCAAAGATATAACATAGATGTTACTGTCAAACTTATTTTCAGGTAGCAGGTAGAGCAAGAGGCAGGGTGCATTCAAACAAAGCCATTTATCCAGGCACACGGCTCCTTTTAGCATGCACAAGTGGTCAAGACGGGCACGTTTATGTTGCAGGTCACTGCTCTTCAGGTGTTCACGTGTTGGGTTTTTGACCAGGTGATTGTTCAAAACGAATGTTTGGTACCGTGTGATGTGGCTCTCTGAATACACGCATGTGCACAAGCACACATACATATGTGTATGATGTAACTCATACCTACATGCATGCCTCTTTGCATATTCAAAATCAATAAAGTATAGCTGCAGGCTGTCCTCCCAGGAAACCAACGGCATTGTGATTGTTGCCTGTTCTGTACTTGTGTCTGGATCTCAGGAGTGACTGTCTTTCCTCTTACCCTTTTCAGATGGAGTTTTTGTGGAATGAAAGCCAAGTGGATTGAAGGAAATTCCAGGTGGCCTTTCAATCCCGTGGAGGGTACAGAGTCACTGGACTAATGGTGGCATCGGGTCTGAATGCAGGCGATGGATCGCCCAGGGCAGGTCAGTATATTTGTGCTGGGACAGAATTCTCACGAGGATTCCATAGACCCACAGTGACCTGTTTCTTCCTGTGTCATTAATGGCATGTGGAATTTCACCTCTTAGGGGGATTGGCTCCTCTCTTCCCTCAATGCCTTGGCCCTGGAGCTCCATATTGCTGGTAGTCTTTTGAGTTCTTCAGCTGTCCAAAAGGACAGACTACACCTTGAACAATCCAGTGCTTATGAATGTGCTTGGATCGATGATGACTTCCACATATACATTCCTTGGAAATCTGAGAAAAATGCGTGAAAACCCCCCACCCTCTCACTCATCGACCTGAGGTGCAACGCATTGTCTGATTCTGGCCAATACAAGAGTGAGGGACAACATCCATTGGCTCCTCTTCGTGGCCCCAAATTCTGCCAGAACTTCTGGAAGTGCCCAGTTTTATGCACAGGATAACATCCAGTGCTACAGACCTCATTGGCTAGCAGATTCCTTGCTGCATTGGCGGCACATTGAGGGCAAGCTTGTGGACACGTGTACAGGTTGAATGAGCACATGAGTGAGTGTCCAGGAAGTATAGGCCCTATGATTCCGTAGCATGGGTCTGTCCTGACCATTTTTTTGTTCTTTGGGCGTACCCCTGCTGCCAGTCCCTACTACTAGGAAAGAAATCACTCATAGGCTATGCTTATAGTCTCATGTCGTGCAGTTAGCAAGATATTTTCGCATTTGTCCATTGGGCGAGGAAAATGAGTGTCAGTTGTAATGTGTAGAACGAAAAACATTATGTGATGTTCACGTAGCTACGCTTATTTCAAGCAAGAATCTGTCCAGTCACATGGTTTCAAATCATTGCCTTGTCAACCATGGAGTGATTTTGTACAAGTTTGAGTGCTGAACTAGGAAATTCTGCATTTATACTTTTTTTTTCGGTGAAATGGTTATGATTCAAAATCTTGATTTTTTTTTTTTTAATGTAGATTCCATCAACCTCTCCTCACATGCCCTCACTGAATTTCATATGAAATCTTGATTTTGTCTTTGGTACCTGTTCCCGTTTGTGGAAGGGATAAGATAATGTAGTTGATAATGGCATCCCAATTTTTAATGAGTTCCTTTTTCCTTTGTTATCTTTATTTCTTTTTTAAGGAACCAGTAACTTAATAGGGTTCATGAAGAGTCTGCACATCCAGACATTGTTAGCATTAATATTCTGGTGATTCATCTGCAGCTTCTCTTACCTTCATTTTCAGTATTTTTCCCTTTTTCCTCTTTTCTTGTACCTCATACAGGAATTCCCAGTGGAGAGTGATGGATTCAGAATTCCTTACCAGTGTGGCAGAAGGAAGTTTGCATCCAGAGAAGGAGGCGCTTGACCTGATGTCACTGAGTCCTCAGCAGTCCGGTTGGTGCAGGTCAGTCTGACAGAGGACAGAGGAACAGGGAATGTCCTCGTAACGGGAGGGCTCAGGGTTTGGCTGCACCCCTCTGCACACTCCCTGACATCCCTGGTCACACATTGTATTGCATATGCAGGTGTCCTGCCTAAATGATAGGGTCCACACTTAGTGGCCTAACTCTGTGCAGCCTCTGCAAATTGACATGTTTTGGAAATCCAGCAGGTTTTAAGTGCTGGGAGTCATTTTTAGGTGGTTGTCTTATTGTCCCATATCATGGCTTTCCTGATTGCCTGCTCCACAATCCATTGCATTACCTTTGAGGCTAACATATATCTGATGTTTAGTTTACACAGATCGGTTCCACAGTGTTTTATTGTGAGTGGATAGCACACAGGGCCTACGTCCCGCTGGAAATTTAAGACACGCGGTCAGTCTGATTAACTAATGATATTGTCAGGCGAAAATTTATGAAGAATATTTGCTCTGCTGGAAAGCAGAGGATAATATATGATTTTTTTTAATATCATGGAAAACATCCTAGTAGAGCAATAATTAATGCATTTTATATAAAATTGTATTAGTGATCCCCACAGTTATGTATCTGGTTGACCAATGCATATTTTTCTTTGTCATCTTTGCTCATTTTTATTGTCATTTTTCAAGTCGACATGGACTAGACACTGGTTTTTTCATGAAAGAGCATAGTTTTTGCCTTTTATATATTACTTAAAGAAGAAAATCAGGAACATTGCTATCATTCACATCTCAAGGACCAGTAGGAATTTTCACAACTTTTGTCCTGCAAATAACTGACTTCTTAAGGAATATGTAAGAACCCAATGACAATAAGATTCTGAGAGGCTATCAGCTGTTGGGTCTCTGTCAGTGATTCCAAGGGTGGTGAACTTCTGAATGCTCAGTGTCTGCCACTTATTTCAGACTCTGCGTCCTCTTTATAAATGCCTGGATCAGTGATGACTAAAGTAATAACAGATCTTGGATATGAACAAACCGAGTGATAAAATCATTTCTGTGACACTGAGGTCTATCACTGAGACCCACCCTAAGCTAAATATGTAGATGGTGAGTTCAGTTAAGTGCTACTAACAAGCTAACCTGCCTTTACACATTAGAGGAATTGAATTTTTCAGAGTTCTGTGAATGTCCAATTATGGGGTTAAAGGCAAATCTTTGATTTTTGGTTGTAACATATATCCACTTGTAGCAAACAAGCACTGGGAAACCAGCACATGAATAGTAAGTGAGACCTGTAGGAAATGGTTGTGTTTAATATGAGCTGTTCACTCATCACTCATTATTCTTACATTCCTAATCTTGTGAGTGACCATTAGTCTTGAGGGCTTTCAGAAGTTCAAAAAAAAAGAAAAGGGGGTGGTGGCATTTTGACTTTTTACTGGTCATTTATCTATTAAGTAAAATAAATAGATGAAAATTGAAGAGTGGTTTCTATTTGTAGAATGTCTTCGTAGTATGTTTTGATTTCTAACCAGTAATGAGCTGGAACTTTTTTTTTTTTTAATCATTGGAGTTATTTATTTTGTAAATAACTTTACTGCTAACTCAAGTAGATGGTATATTTAGTGATTTTTTGGCGTGAAATGATTAAATTTCCAATTTTTGTTTTTTAATGTGAATTTCTTTGGCTATTTTATATACCCTCAGTGGGTTTCATATGTTCTTTTCATTTGTTTGTTTAATTTAAGATGACTTTTTTTCCCCATTTTTATTCTCTCTGTGTTTCAATTTGGATATATTCTTTGATCTGTCTTCAAGTTCATTAATTGTTTTCTCTTGTGTTGTGAAACAATCCAATAAATTCCTAATTTCTGATACTGGATTTTGCAGTCATTGGATATCTACTTGATCCTTTAAAAAATAGATTCTAATTCTCTGTTGATGTCCTCCATCTTTTCATCCTCATTGTCAATTTTCCATTTTCTTTAACATATTAATTTTAGTTATTTTGAAGTCTTGCCTGCTAACTCCAGTATCTGGATCATCTCTGTATGTGCTTTTATATCTTAATTATTATTTACTTTGTCCTGATTCTTTTAATCTAGTAATTTATTATACACCAGATATTGTGGGTTGTACTTTGTAGATATTCTGGATTATGTTGTCTTTTTCTAAAGAATATTGAATTTTGTTCTGACTGGAAATTAAATTACTGGCAGATCACCTGAATTCTGGTGAAGATTGAACTTAGCCTTTGTTATAATGGGTTTATTTCAGTTTTGACCTTACTTCTAGGGTGTATCCTGGAACTTGATGTATATCCCTAGGGCAGGGGTTTTTTGTTTGTTTGTTTGTTTTTCTTTTTCTTTTAGCAAAACATACGTCAACTCAATTTCTACATGTACAATTCAGTGATATTGGTTATATTCTTCAAGTGCGTCACGTTTCTCGATATCGTTTTCTGAATTGTTTCATCATCATCAACACAAGCTCACTGTCCCCTAAGCTTCTTATCTAATCTTTGCTCTTGTCAGTTTGGTCTCATATAGATAATTCTTTAAAAGAACTCAGTAGTCAAGGTGGAAATTCTTTTCTAATTAAACTATTGTTAGGTTTAAAGTAACTTCAGGAGAAAGTTTCGTTTTAAAGTTTAAAGATTTTCTCAGGGCAATAGTTTGGGGGGCACTGGTTTCGTATTGTTTTAATGGGAGATCCTAGATATAATGAATTTTGTTGAGGAGGAAGTTCTGGGGAAACTTTTAGAAAAACGTCTTAGGGAAAAATGACTTTCTATAATACACTATTCAAGGAGAGAGCATAATTGATCTTGTCGTACAGGTGTTGTGTTATCTAAACTAACACAGGGATGGTGTTTTGAATGTCATGAGAAATGTCCTAGTAGAGCAATAATTTAGTACATTTTATATGTAGGTACTTTAGTGAACTCTACCATCTTGTCACTGGTGACCGTGGAAGGTACGTATTTCTCATCTTTCCATATTTTTACTCTCTTCCCACAGGTCAACATAGTCCAAGCACGAGATTTCCTATGAAAGAGTTATTTACCTTCTCTGAAGACATGACTTGAAGGAGAGTTTCAGGAATAAGTCTGTCATCACATGCTCAAGAGCCAGGTGGAATTCTCACACAGTAAGCATTTTGTCCATAAGATACTGGACTTTCCTCTTAGAAATGATGTAATGCTCCAGTGACAGTAAGACTCTGGCTTTGCTATCAGCCTTGGGGCCTGAGTCACTGACTGGGATGCCTGGTCCCCATGACTGAATAGTGTGGGTCATTGAGTCTCAGGGTGATGCACTCCTGAGTGCTCAGTGTCTGCCACTTATATCAGGTCTGGGTCCCCTTTATGAACATGCCTGAATCAATGATGACTAAAATAATGGATCTCATTGGAATCTGAACAAAATGAGTGACAAACTCACTTCTGTGAAACTAGGGTCCAGCATGGAGACCCACCCCAAGTAAAATATGAGGAGGGGCATGTTCAGTTCGGTCAGCTCAGTGCTACCAACAAGGACTGTGTTATTTGACAGCTATCATGCTTGTGTGTATTAGAGGAATTAAATTATATGAAGGTTATGAATATCTATTTTATGGGTTAAATGGTAACTTTATGAGTTCTGCGCCAGCAGCATACATACTGTATGTTTTAAATACTATATATTTTATATGCAAGTGTATTAGTGAACTCTATAATTGTTCTTGGTTGGCCAAGATATATGTATCTTATCTTTCCCAAATTTTATTCTCTTCCTACAGGTGGTCCTGGTCCAAACATAGATTTTCATATGAGTTACTTAATTCCCTCAAGACATGGCATGAAGGACACCATCATAAATATGTCATTTGTCTCATCCTCAAGAGCCGGTGGGAATTCTCATGATGGTAAGTATTGTGTCCTGAACATACTGACATACTCATGTCATACTCCAATGACAGTTAAGTCTCTGGCCATGCTATCAGCTGTATGTGAGTCCTTGCTCATTGACTGGGATGCCTGGTCCCCAACTGAATAGTGTGAGTTAATGAGTCCAGGGGTGACACACCCCTGAGTGCTCAGTGGCTTGCCACTTTTCTCGGGCTCTGGGTCCTCTTTATACACATGCCTGAATTAGTGTTGACTAAAATAATGACTCTTCTTGGAATCTGAACAAAATTAGTGGTACAGTCACTTTGTGAGAAGGAGGTTTAGCATGAAGACCCACTGTAAGTAAAATACGTGGAGGGGCATGTTCAGTTTAGTCAGCGAAGTGCTAGAAACAAGGACTCCGCTAGCTGCTTTCATGTATTAGAGGAATTGAATTGTACAGAACTCTGTAAATATATAATTTTGGGGTTACATGGCAACTCTTTGAGTGTTGGGCTGGCATCATAGATATATTTGTTGTGAACGAGCACCGGAGAATCAGCAAATGACTAGTGAGATGTGTAGGAATTGGTTGTACCTACATTTGAGTCAGTCACACATATTTCTTAGATGCCAGAATATTCTGACTGATAATCAGTTTCTTGTAGGCTTTTAGTCAGATTTAAAGAGATTTTAAACTTTTCTCTTTTTAATTTCTATCTCAAGTGAAATAATATACAGAAATTGATAGTATTACTATCAGATATCTTCATAGCATTTTCTAATTTTCTTGCTATCTGAGTCATGTGTATTGGAGTTTTTTTTTTTTTTTTTTCCTTCATTTTATCAATGGAGCAATTTCAAGATATTTGTCCACTAGCTTCCAGTAGATTTGGCATTATATATTTTTATTTGTGCAATTATTAATTTTTTTTAAACTCAGGTTTTTTTTGTGGATTGCATTAGTTACACTTTATATGTTCTCAATAGGTTTCATATAGCATTAAATAAAAAATCATAGCTCTAATAAATGTTGCTGGGTACAGTGTGTTGGAAGATCTTCTTGCCTGAGGTATTCGAAAAAAGTTCATTGTATAATTTGCTGTTCTGAGGAATGAGACCAGTTGTTCTTGTCATAGAGTCAGTCAAGTCAATATCTATGGTGTAATCACTGGATGCTCTTACCACTTTGTATTCCATTAGGAAGTTTTTGGTTCTCAAATTCCCTAATTCCCCCACCCCCATGCTTTGTAGAATGTAAGTCATAATGAAGGCCTTGAAGGAAAATTGTTGGTATATGGAATTCTCACTGCCACACCAATGAAGTCATTGGGAACCAGTTCCCTTCTCTGGGAAGGAACAAATTGATGCACTCCAGTGATAACATCTCAATTTTTGTTGTATTTATTTTCCAGAGTTGTTTCAGTGTTTTTTATTAAGCTAATTATGAATTGACTTGGTTTGTGGGAGTATCTTTTTATATAAACAAGATGAGACTTTTTATTAAAATTATGGTGAGTCATTGGAGGCTTATGTTTGTTTCATTTCCAGGACTTTTGCCCTTTGTCTTCTCTGTGGCCCCTGATAAAAGAATTGGACATGGAGAGTGCTGTGAGGGAATTCCTAGACAGTGTGGCAGTGGATTGTTTGTGCCCATTGAGGGGGGAGTTTGCCTGAATGTCAGGAGTCCTCCGCAGTTTGGCCTGGTTAATGTCAGCCTGACAGGAAGATGGAAAAGTTACTCATGGTGAGAGGGTGAGTGTTTTCCTTGACCCCTCTCATGTTCCCAGAACACTTTGGCTATACAGTAGTTAGTATACATGTGTTGGTCCTACCTGAGCTGATTTGTTCATACTGAGTGGAATCAGATGTGGCATAATCCTGTATACTTTTAATTTAACTAATAAAAGTAACATATGATGACAATGACTCATCAACCAGAGAATATAAATGACAAAGTAGAAACTATAAAAAAGAACTAAATAGAAACTGTACAAGTAAAAAGTAATATAAATTAAATGGAAAAGTTACTTAGAGAAATTTGACAGCAGATTTGAGATGACAGAATAAGTAATCAGTAAACATAAAGGTTTGTTGCTGTTGTTAGCTGCCATCAGGTCAGCCTCCAACTCATGGCAACCTCTTGTTACAGAGTAGAATTCTTGGCAGTAATCTTTACAAAAGCAGATCACTATGCCTTTCTTTCTTGGACCCTCTGGGTGGGTTTAAACTGCCAACCTTTTGCTTAGCAGCCAGTCACAAACTATTTGTGCCACTCAGCTCCTCGACATAAAGGTAGACATATAGAAATTATCCACTTTGAAGAACAGAATGAAAAAAATAATGAAGAGTCTCAGAGGCCTGTGTCATACCTCAAGTCTGCCAATATAATTACAGTGAGAGTCCTAGTAGAGGATAGAGAGAAGGAGAAATAAAAAATACATATATCTGAAGAAATATTGATTGAAAATTTAAAAATTTGACAAAACCTTAATCTATACAACTAAGAAACTCAACAGACTTGAGGATATGCAGAAAAAGATACATATGTCTGTTGAAAGTCATAAAATCTCATATAAAAAAGTTAACATTAATCTAGAGTAGATTGTGATATATTAAGACTTTGTGAACCCTAGAACCACTACAAAGAAAACAACTCAAAAATAGTAAAAAACCACAAAATAATTAAAATAGCAAGCTAGAAAACATCTGTTTAACACAAAAGATGGCAGTTAAGGAAGAAGACAGGAACAACAAAGATATAAGACTTACAGAAAACAGATGGAAAATGGAAGACATAAATCCAACCATATCAACAATTACATTAAATGTAAATGGATTAACTACTCCAGTCAAAAGGCAGAGACTCTGAGACTGCATAAATGCACACACAGAGAGACACACACATACACACTACAACTATATATTTACAAAAGAGATTCTTTAGATTAAAAGACACAAATAGTTTTAAGTAAAAGGATAGTTAAAAGCTATACCATACAAACAATAACCTAAAAAGTGCTGGAGTGACTGTACTGATATCAGAGAAAATAGACTTTATGGTTAAAAAAAATAAAGTAACTAGAGACAAAGAAGAATATTACATTCTAATAGAAGGATTGATTCATCTGGAATATATGACAATTGTAAACATATACACACCTAATGACAGTGCCCCAAAATACATATAGAAAAAAACAGACACAATTGAAGGTAAAAATACACGAGAAAACAGTAATAGCTAGAGACTTCAATAAATACCCTCTTCTTAATAATTGATAGAATAATTAAACAAAAAAATAAGTGAGGTTATAGAAGGCTTGAGCAATTTCATCAACCAACTTGACCTGACATATTTAAAACACTGTACCCAAAAACAGCAGAATACAAATTATTTTCAAGCACACATGGAAAATTCTCTAAGCTAGACCATATTTTAGGCTATAAAAACAGTCTCAATAACTCAAAGGTTGAAATCACGCAGAGCATATTCTATGACCATTACTCATTGCCATCTAGTCAAATTTACTCATAGAGACCCTATAGGACAGAGTAGAACTGCCCCATAGAGTTTCCAAGGCTGTAATCTTTACAGATACAGACTATCACATCTTTCTTCTGGGGAGCAGCTGGTGGGTTTGAACCACCAGCCTTCGGTTAGCAGCCAAGCATTTATCCACTGGGCCACCAAGCCTCCTCTATGACCATAGGAGAATTTAAACTAGAAATCAAAATAGCAAGAAATATGAGAAATCTCCAAATATTTGGAAATTAACACACTTATAAGTAACCCATGGGTCAAAGATATAAATCATAAGAGAAATTAGAAAACATTTTGAATTGAATGAAAATGAAAGAACAGCATGTTAGTATTTATGAGATACAGCTAAAGAAGACTTAAAGGGAAATTAATAGCTTTAAATACCTATATTAGAAAGGAAGAACTACATCAAATTAATAACCTAAGCTTCTACCTTAAGAAACAAGAAAAATACTAAACTAGAAAAATAAAGGAAGTAAATGATAATAGAGTAGAAGTCAATGACATATATAACAGACAAAAAGTATGGAGAACATCCATAACACTAAAAGTCAGTGTTCTGGAAAGATTAATGAAATTGACAAGCCTTTAGTAGACTGACCAAGAAACAAAGATAGAAGATACAAATTACCAAAGTCATGAATGAAAAAGAAAACATCACTACTGATCTTATAGATTCCAGAAGGTGTTAATGTGCAATGCTGCTCAGACTTTCTTTTTGAAGAAATAGAATAGCCAACACAATACCGAAGAACAAAGTTGGAGGAATGACACAACTCAACTTCAAGACTTGGCTTCTAAGCTACACTGATCAACATAGTGTGATATCAGCAAAATAAAAGACAAATAGATGAATGAAACAGAATAGAGAGCCCAGTACTAAACCCGACAGATACAGTCAACTGATATTTGACAAAGGAGCAAAGACAAATCTATTGAGAATAGATACTCTTTTCAACAAATGGTTCTGGAACAACTGGACATCTACATGCAAAAAAAAAAAATGAATCTAGACCTTACACCTTTCACAATAATTAACTTAAAATGGATCAC